AAAATACTAAATTAATGTTTTTCCAAGAGATAAGTTAGACCTATACAACTTTTAAGAGGAAACCGCGGTGCATTTCACATCTCGGAAAAGAAAAAGTAATCTTAGAAGACTTGGAAGATACCGTCCTGGAGTTTGAAGGGGTTACCCTTAGCCATCTTAATCAAGTTGATATTTAACTAAACAACAAGTCCCAAGTGTTAATCTTTTTGTGAAATATAAATATGGATTCAATACTTTAATATATCTTACGGGTGGGAAAATTAGGTGCCCAACAACATCGGATTACTTCGCCCAATAATGGAAAAAAATTTTAAATTTTAATTTCGAAAAAAATTATGACGTCATTATACCCAGTAATGAAATCTCAATATTGACCCAGCTTAACTTTAAAAATATGATGGTCTCATCTATAGTTTCAATAATCAACTAATCCTAGTTAAAGGCATAATTACACTTACTGTGACATTTGGTGATGGTCGAAGGTATGTCACTACTATGGTTCAAATTTTGATGGTAAAAATGGCTTCATCTTTCAATGTTGTGATCGACCGCTCAACTTTGATTGAAATTTGAGCTATGGTTCCATAATTTCATCTGTGCATGAAATTCCCAACTCCCATAAGTATAGTGATATTGAAGGGCAACTAAGAAGTTGCTAGACGTTATTGTATGACCTCAGTAACTCAACCTCAGAAAAGTAAAGAAGTCAACATCAGGACAAATCCTTAGATATCAAGTGCTTTGCAAGTGATAGGAGTTGAATTAATGAATACTAGACTTGAAGACGAAGTCAAAGGCACCTCGACAGAAGAGGTGGAAGTTGTGCAGATTGATGACAGAGATGAAGGGAGGAAAACCTAGATTAGAACTAAGCTCAATCCATAAGAGAAGGAAGATTTAATCAATTTTCTCCAAGCCAATAAAGATATTTTTGCATGGATCTTAGCTAATATGCTAGGGATTCCCACCTCGATAATTATACATAGTTGGAGCACTAACCCCTAAGTTTAATTTTGATGAGATGGATAAACTAAAAAATTATGAATGAAGCTCAGAATGTCAAGATGCATTTGATGAGATTAAATCCTATCTTAGCTCACTACCTTTGTTGACCAAAACCCTTGACGATGAAATTCTATATTTATACCTTGGGATCTCAAATGAAGCAATCAATTTTGTGTTAATAAGAGAGGAAGGTAAGTAGCAAAGGCCAATAAACTACATCAATAAGGTGTTGTAAAGGGTTGAACAACGATATCCATTAGTCGAGAAGGCAACTTTGATAGTTATCACTTCAGCCTAGAAGTTAAGACCATACTTCCAGTCTCACCCAATAATCATGCTTACATATCAACCTCTTAGGTAGATACTTCAAAAGCTAGAGTGTGCAGGTAGATTGATAAACTGAGCTATTGAATTAAGGGAATTTGAGATAACATTTCAACAACAAATCGTCATTTGAGTCTGAGCATTGGTAGACTTTGTGGCGAAATACACCTCCAACCAATCGATCTTTGCCTCCAAAGTGGATGCATGGGCTTTATATGTAGACAGGGCATCTAATTGTAGGGGTTCTGGTGTCAGAGTTCTACTAATTGGCTGAGATGGATTCCAAAGTGAGCCTTCAAGTTCAATTTTGAAGCTACTAATAACATGGCTAAGTATGAAGTTTTGTTGCTCAGACTTCAACTAGCAACCAAGCTCAATGTTAAGGCAATTCAGGTTTATAGTGACTCCCAATTGGTAGTAAACTAGATGAATTCAATTTGTAAGATAGCTAAGCCTACCTTAACAGAATATGCGACTATGATTCCAGAATTGAAAAGTAAATTCAAAAAATTTCAACTAATGAAAATACCTAGAGCAGAGAACGAGCAAGCAGATTCTTTGTCAAAACTAGCCTCCAATGATTCTAATGGGCAAAGATTAGTTTATATTGAAGTTTTCAAAAGCCGAGGACAATGGAGATCAACACTGATCCAAATACTCTTAGCTAGACAGATCCAACTAGGTTCTACCTCCAAGATGGTGCAGTTCCAGATGACAAATAAGCAAAGATGAAGTTGAGAAAGAAGGCATCTTAGCAAGGAAGGCATCTCAGCACACCTTGATTGATGGTGTCTTTTACAAGAGATCATTTTCACTTCCTATACTTTGATGCCTAACTCCTTACGAAGCCAAATATGCCCTTCGTGAAGTACATGATGGTGTATGTGGAAGTCACATGGGTTCCAAAACACTAGCTCACAAAGTTCGTAGACAAGGATACTATTAGTTGAACATGTTGAAGGATGCAAAGGAATTTGTACAGTAATGTTTGAAGTGCCAATTCTTTACACATCTTATGCACTAACCAATAGAAAAACTCACTAATTTCGTAGCTCGGTGACCATTTGCCCAATGGGGCCTTGACCTCTTAGATTCGTTTGTGAAAGTTGTGAGAGATGTAACACACTTAGTTGTTGCTGATAAAAAAATTATCAAGAGATAAAAAAGTTAACATTAATTTTAACACTCATGTCATGTGGATATTTTTAATAGATAATTGACCAAATTAGTGTTAGTTTTTATTTTTTGATATATATTATGATAAAAAAAATATAATAAATGTATTTTTAATCTAAGTGCATATGTTAAAAAAGAACATTTTTTTTTTAAATGCAGCTACACGCTTGACAAATACTTTGCAAGTCAATGAATAAAGAATAAACCTATTCATTAGTTCGACCTTTTCTCAAAAAAAGAATCGGGAGACACAATTAATGCTTTGCAATTCAAATTGCACCCAACTGGAAACACACGCATTTTTCATAATTGGTCGAAAATAACTTCCTTTTACAAGTCAATGAATAAAGAATAAACCTATTCAGGACACGGCAAGAGGAAACTGCAGTGCAGTTCACATCTCGGAAGACAAAAAGGAATCTTAAATGACAGATGTATGGGTAGCGTGTGGAAAAGGAGGCTTTGCTATTTGTTGTGTAGCTCTCTTTTGGTAGTTTGTTTCTGGGCCGGTCTGAAAACTATGGTTGTATGCTTTGTTGGTGCTGATTTAGGATTGTAAATTGTACTTTTTAACGGCAAAAAATATTCCTTATAGTACATATAATAAAATTTTGCTTTTGCTGATATATATATATATATATATATATAAATCCTAAATGACTTGGAAAATTCCATCGTGGACTTCAATCATATTAGAAAATGTTTAACGCTAAGTTCATGTCTTGACTTCATAATTTAAAAATATTTATATTTTTTTATTCCAAAAAGTAAGGAGGAAGCATAACAAATGAAAAAGTATTTTATAGTATAAATTCTTTCAAACTATAAAATACTAATTTTTGATAAAAGGTTTTCTTCTTGTTTTATAGTATGTAACAGTTCAAACAATAAAATAAAAAACCCTATAATAAAATTATAACAACAATTACTATTCTTGCATACTTTTGTTGTACACGCACATATCAAATACCAAACACAACCCATGGTGTCATTGTTTTTCTTAGAAACTTGAAATGAGCATTCAAATCAAAACCCCAGTTGCAGATTTTTTTTTCTTCTTTGTTATATTGTCCTTCAGGCTTGGTCATTGCCGCCGAACAACTGACACAATCTGCCAAGGAGATTCAATAAGGGATGATGGAAGAGAAACTCTGATATCTCCAGACAAGACTTTTGAACTGGGGTTTTTCAGCCCTAGAAATTCTACATTGAGATATGTGGGCATCTGGTATCACAATATGGAGGATACAGTGGTGTGGGTAGCAAATAGAGATGCTCCAATCTCTGATGGAAGTGGTGTTTTGAGGATGGGACATGAAGGCAATTTAGAGGTTTTAGATGGTAATAACCGCACAGTTTGGACTTCAGACACAGTTTGGACTTCAAACAGTGTTTCTCCTGCATCAAAAAACTTAGCAGCAGCTCTCTTAGATACAGGGAATTTTGCTCTGTCAGATAGTTACAAACGGTTAAGCAAATCATGCTATTTTATTTATCATGACAATATTAGTAACTATTATTGGCAGAGCTTTGATTATCCTTCTGATACATATCTCCCCGGCATGAGAGTTGGGGCGCGTACTGACGGGGGAGAGAAGCTCGTCTTTACTTCATGGAAATCTGCAAATGATCCCTCGCCAGGAAACTTCGGAATGGGAATTGATACTTTTGGAGCACCTCAGATTGTGATTTGGAATCAAACCAGAAGGATTTGGAGAAGTGGGTATTGGAACGGATTGACATTTACTGGTTCCCCCAATACATCGGTTAGTATTCTATATGGTTTCCGCTTCTTTCCCCCTGATGAATCGGGGATCATTTTTTTGACTTATGCTCCATCAAGCGCTTCTGTGAGGAGGAGGTTTCGAATAAGGTGGGATGGGAAAGGAGAGCAGTTAAAGTGGGATGATGACATCGAGAATTGGACTGTGCTGCAATCAGAGCCTGTCAATGATGGTGAATTTTACAACTTTTGTGGGAATTCTGGGGTCTATGATGTCTCCAACTCTACTAAGTGCAGCTGCCTACCATGGTTTGAACCCAATAATGCGGAGGAATGGAACAGAGGAATTTGGACAAACGGATGTGCTAGGAGAACAAAACTGCAGTGCAGTAGAACAAATAGCAGCAGTGAAGTAGGGAAGGTGGATATGTTTTTGAAAATGAAGATGATGAAACTTCCGGATAGCCCATATTTCTTTAACAAACAGTCGTTGAAGTCCGAAGATGAATGCAGATCATGGTGCCTGAACAACTGTTTCTGTTTTGCTTACGCATATGATGAATTTATAGGATGTATGTCATGGAGGAATGAAAACTTGACTGACATTGCGATGTTCTCGAGTGGTGGGAAAGATCTTTACATTAAACTGGCACACTCAGCATTTGGTACGTACTTCTTATACATGAAGTTAGACAACTATGTTATAAGTGGAAACCATGAAAATTAGTTAAACAAATATATTATCTATTATATTGTTTTTGATTTGCAGATACAAAGGAAAAGGTAACACTAATAATCATAATAACAATTGCAATCATAATAGCAGCTGCAATCATAGGAATAATTTACATCTTCTGCTCATTGTTCTTAAGGAGGCATATCGATAAAAGAGGTAATATACTATATACTTACTTATTCATCTCTTTTAGTGATTAAAGCTATACTACTCATGATTAAGTAACTGTTAATGCAACATTTACTTCATACTTATTCAGCAAGGAATGAGAACAAGGAAGAAATATTGTTGTTTGATAGAGGAAAAACCAGCATAAGCGAGGTTAAACTTCAAGAGGTATCATTATTCAAATTTGAGGAATTGACAAACGCAACAAACAATTTTAATATTGCAAATCTGCTAGGACAGGGAGGTTTTGGCCTGGTATATAAGGTATTTGTAGCTTCGAGCTGTATAGTTTTGATAGTATATATGTCAAATGAAATAAAATCTTTACTAACATATTCTTTCCTTTTTAGGGAACATTGCAAAATGGACGGCAAATAGCAATAAAGAGACTGTCAAGGACATCAACGCAGGGGGTAGACGAATTTAAGAATGAAGTGTTGGTCATCTCCAATCTTCAACACCGAAATCTTGTAAAACTCCTAGGCTGTTGTGTTGAGGCAGAAGAGAAGATTTTGGTCTACGAGTACATGCCAAACAGCAGCTTGGACAAACATTTGTTTGGTTAGTATGACTCACTCTCATTTTCATTTGGTTATAAAATGCAAATAAAGGGGGCCTTTTTTTTTTTTTAACCAAAATATTAATTAGGAGCCAAAATGAGAACAACTTAACGACTATTTTCAATGTCTAAAACATTCATTTCCGATGATAATGATCTTTATTCTTGTTCTTCTAGTTTTAACATGTTCACCTTTTATATAGATTTGCTAAAAAAAGAACTCCTAGAATGGAGAAAACGTTTGACCATTATTGAAGGAATAAGTCAAGGTCTCATTTACCTACACCGACATTCTAGATTGCGAATTATTCATAGAGATTTAAAAGCAAGTAACATCTTGCTAGATGAAAAGTTGCAACCAAAAATTTCAGACTTTGGATTGGCTAGGATTTTTGGAGACAATGAATATCAAGCCAATACTACAAGGGTTGTTGGAACATAGTAAGTAGACTTTTCTTACACCAAAATACTTCTCAAACCAATAGCATCATTATACACTTGAAAAATCAAGCTTTTGTTTTGATGTTTGATGTAGTGGCTATATGCCCCCTGAATATGCAATGGAAGGACTATTTTCAGAGAAATCTGATGTATTCAGTTATGGTGTTTTATTGCTAGAGATTGTTAGTGGGAGAAGAAACTCTAGTTTTTACAATGATGAACATTTAAGCCTTGTGGGATATGTAAGTGAAGCTCTTTCCTCCAACATCCTTATGTTTAATTGGCTTCCCCCACCCCCCACCCCTCCAATTTTGATGCTAATCTTTGCCCTTTCTAGGCTTGGAAACTGTGGAATGAAGGCAACATTTTGGCTTTGGTTGATAACTTGGTCTGTGATCCATCCCATCATGAACAGGTTCTAAGGTGCATACACGTGGGATTACTGTGCGTGCAAGAATTTGCGAAAGATAGACCTAACATGTCCACAGTCATTTCAATGCTTAACAGTGAAATTGTGGATCTTCCTCCTCCTAAACAACCTGCTTTTACTCTAAGACAGAATAATGCATCCCCTGCTCAGCATGATCAACAGAGATGCTCTGTAAACAATGTAACTCTCTCAAAGATTGAAGGACGATGAGAAGAGAGGAGGGAGGTGATCGGAGGTTTGACAAAGAGAAATCGCAAAAATGGAGTGAGGTGATTTGAGCTTCGATCGAGGAGGGTAGTCTTTCCTTTTTGCCAATGCGCTTCTTCAAATGGCATCGGTTCTAAACATAGAGCATATATAGAGGCGGCCAACTTGTAACAACCTTATCGGACTATAATTTTGGTTTTTAATTTGGTGGTAGAATAAAATAGAAAAAAAATTATAAGAACAGTTAAACGTGATGATTTTTAGTTCTTAATTTCAATTTTTACATGTTGTGTTGTAATTATAGTTAATTTTTTTGTCTTTTATTATTTTAAAAATACATAAAATTAATTAAGCATAATAAATAAGAAAAGTAAAGTATAATGTGTCATTGCATGAATTGCATTTTGCTTAATCATAAATGCAGGTTACAACCGTTAAGCCTCATATATTAAAGATTTATCTTTTCACCAATAGTTAATCGTTTTCCAGTTTACTTAAGACAATCGGTAAAACATTATTACAATAATAAGTTTACTTTTTAAAATAAATTGTCGGATAAAAAAGTTTCGTATGACAAAATAAAGTTTAAACATAACCTTAATTTATAGACTAGCGCAAAACAGTGCCCGCCAGTCCTATTTTGCCTGTTATGTTGCAGCCGCATGTATCGACTGCCTCTATGTTTTCTTGTGGCGGTTATAAATTAGCATGTGAATGGGGTTTACTTCCTGGCTGCTAGAGAATTTTATTTTCAGTGTCCATGCCATGTGGCGACTAAGGCTTAGCCACCAATTCCCCTGTTTCTTCTATATATGTGTCTGCAAATGCTGACTGAAAATGTAAACAGCCCATTGAATTTGCACTTTCCTCGATTTCAGTTAAGGAAAGTACACCGAATTGTGAGGTTTAGGAACAAAAACGCTCCTGCACATTTGGCTTTAATACGGTTGTGCTTAAGAAGTACAGCTGTGCTCAAGATCATGTCATGTGGCCTCCACCAAGTCTTAGCCACCAATTCCCCTGTTTCTTCTAGTGTTTGTAAAGGAAGGTTACATTATTATCAATTCTATATACACTATGTATCTGCGAATGCTGTATATATACACAATAAAATTAGTGGCTTCCCCAGTAAGAGCCACTATGAAAAACAGGAAATCAATTAAAAAAACAAAAAAGAGCATCTTAATTATTAGTGGCTCCAGCACTGAAGAGGGTAATAATTACGAGTGCTATAAGGTGACCAAAAAAACCTAGGATTCTCAACTCCGGTAAGTGGTCATCACTACGTAAAAGGAAAATAGAAGTCACTGCAAAGGCGAATAACAGAAACCAGAGCAGTGCTTTTCATGAAAATCAAGAAATTGGAAAGTTATGGGTGTGATCAGGAGAATGATATTACTAGGCTTTCTCTAGCATTCATGTTCCTGCGTTCAGTTTTGGCACTGCTGTAGATACCATCATAGCATCAAAATCTATCACATATCAAGAAGCCATAATCTCCAGTGGTAGAATATTCCAAATGGGGTTCTTCAGCCTGTTAATTCTACTGATCTTTTTGTAGGAATATGGTACTATGGCATTGATCCTGCAAAAGGTGTCATATGGGTGGCCAACAGAGAAAAGCCTCTAATTAAAGGACATCTCTGGGACCCTGAAGATAGCTGAGGATGGTAATCTTTGTTGGGTTAGGCCTATCCCTCCTATGTGGAGAAATGGACAATATTTGTTGGACTAAACCCACACTTGTTAAGCCCACTTGAAGCCACATTATGCAGCCCTTTAAGACAAAGAAAGAAGTCTGATTTGGACAGCCGAAGGTGGAGAACACGTGAGTGGACCAGCCGGCAGACAGGGAAAGAAAGCAAGAGAGAATTCTGCAGATTTGGTACAGTGCACAGTTTTGCAACTTTGTCCTATCCACCAAAGTTTAGATTGAGTTGAAATTTAGTCTGAATGTTCACAAGACATAGTTTTACGTTCTGAACAGGTCAGTTTTTTGTTTGAAGCTTTGTAAGTTCTGTTTCTATGTCCTGAACAGTAACTCGTGTTTTGGTGACAGTTTCTCTTTGTGGTTTCATTTTTCTTGTTGGTTTTGTGACCTATTGTTACTCTTATTTGGTGCTGTTTTTGTGTCCTTTTAGAAGAGGATGTTGTGTACTCTCTTTTATTATAATGGAGCTTTTTTTGTGAGCTGGTGTCCCGTGATTTTTATCCATTTTTAGGGTTTTCCACGTAAAATTATTGTGATTGGTTTGCCTTTGCCATTGCCATTTCTACAGTTTGCATATTTGTTTAGCTACTGCCATAATTTATTTGGACTCAATTTAGCTTGCTTCTAACAATTTCAAATAGATTGGGGAAGATTTTGGGGTTGCTTTTGTTTCCGCTATGCTCAGATGACACCCCATTCTTCCCAACAATCTTGCCCTTCTGAATGGGCAGAAGGATGTTGTTTGGTCATCAAATGTCACAAACTCGGCAGTTAATAATACAAGTCAACTTCAAGATAATGGAAACCTTGTCTTGCTGGATAATGCCACTGGGGCAATCATATGGCAGAGTTTCCAACATCCGTCTGATCTCGGCATGCCAACTATGAGAATTAGTATCAACGAGAAAACCGGTAAGGTAGTCCAACTAACATCATGGAAAAGCCCTTCAAATCCTTCTATTGGTGAAGCACCATTACGATTCCTATATTATATCCCTCCAGATCTTGATGGGCTTTTCGGGTCCGATCAGAAGGAAGGAACCAAATATCTGGCTTTGAATTGTAACGGTCCCTATTTAGTAGATTTTCCCCTGGATTCATACGGGGCACTGATAATTGACGGTTGGAATGGTAACTTGAACAAATGGGACATTTTGTGGTCGACCAAGATGAATGTGATTCTTACAACAAGTTGTGGGCCATTTGGAAGCTGTGATTATCATCAACCAAAAATTTACCGCTGTTTGCCAGGGTTTGAACCCAACAACAAAGAGGAACGGAACAGAGGAATTTGGACAAGTGGATGTATTAGGAGAACACCACTGCAGTGCAACAGAACAAATAGTAGCATTGAAGTGAAGGAGGATAAGTTTCTAACGCTGAATCTGATGAAAATGCCAGACTTCTTTTCTCGTTCGTCAGGAACACCCGAATATGAATGCAAACAGCAGTGTCTTGAAACGTGTTTCTGTATTGCATATGCATATCCTAGGGGTTTGAGCTGTTTGTTGTGGTTGAGGAAAATGGAGAGTGAAAACTTGATCGACATTCGTAAGTTATCCAGGAACGGTGCAGATCTTCACATTCGTCTGGCATCCTCAGAACTTGCAACTGATCTTAAATTTCTTGTAGCATAATACTGTGAAGTTTAACACTTTGTGGTTAAAAATTACAAATTATTAACTAAACCAAAGATCAAATTTCTTTGCAACAAGACTCGTCCTTCGACTGTTGGGAGAGTTACATTGTTTATAGAGCATTATTGTTGATCATGCTGAGAATGGGACTATACATCAGGTGCAGTATTCTGCTTTGGAGTGAAAACAGGTTGTTCTGGAGAAGGAAGATCCACGATTTCACTGTTAGGCATTGAAATGACTGTGGACATGTTAGGTCTATCTTTCACGAATTCTTGCACACACAGCAATTCGACATGTGTGCACCTTAAAATCTCCTTATGATGGCTTGGATCAGATACCATGTTATCTATCAAAGCCAAAATGTTGCCCTCATTCCACAATTTCCAAGCTTGGAAAGGGCAAAGATTAGCTTCAAAAATGAAAAAAACCCCAATTAAACATAAGGCTGATGGATAAGAGATTTACACTTACATATCCCACAAGGTTTAAATGTTCATCATTGTAAAAACTGGTGTTTCTTCTCCCACAAACAATCTCTAGTAGTAAAACACCATAATTGAATACGTTAAATTTCTCCAAAAATAGTTCTTTCATTGCATATTTTGGGGGCATATAGCCACTATATTAAATATCAAAAGAAAACCTTATTGTCCAAGCATATATAATGATGTTATTGGTTTGGGAAGTATTTTCATGTAAGAAAAGTCTTCTTACTGTGTCCCAACAACTTTTTTAGTATTGGCTTGATCTTCATTGTCTCCAAAAATCTTAGTCAATACAAAGTCCAAAATTTTTTATTGTAACTTTTCATCCAACAAAATATTACTTGTCTTTAAATATCTATGGATAGTTTGGGGTCTAAAATATCAATGTAGATAGAGAATGTTAATGTAGATAAAGAAAACCTTAACTTATTCCTTTAACAATATTATAACATATTCTCCATTCTAGGAGTTCTTTTTTGAGCGAATCTATATAAAAAGGTGAAAATGTTAAAACTAAAAGAACAAATAGTAAGGATCTTTATCATAAAAAATGATTGTTTTAATTAGACATTGAAAATAATCCATATATTGTTCTACTTTGGCTCCTAATTACAATTTTGATTTTTTTTTTAAAAAAAGAAAAAAACCCTTGTTTGCATTGTCTAACCAAGAGAAAAGGAGAATGAGTTATGCTCTAACCAAACAAATATGTATCCAAACTGTTGTTCGGCATGTACTTGTAGACCAAAATTTTCTCTTCTCCCTCAAAACAACAGCCCAGGAGTTTTACAAGATTTCGGTGTAGGAGATTGGAGATGACCATCACTTCGTTCTTAAATTCATCTACCACCTGCCCTGATGCCCTTGACAGTCTCTTTATTGCTATTGCCACCCCATTTTGCAATGTTCCCTAGAAAAGAGAGAATGAATTTAGTAATTAGGATATCATTTCACTCGACACACAATCAAAACTATAAAGTTGGAAGCCAACATTACCCTGTGCAGTGGACCAAAACCTGCCTTTCAAAGCAAATTTACAATATTAAAGTTGTTCGTTGCAGTTGCCAATTCCCCAAAACTGAATGATGGTACCTCGTGGAGTTAAACTTCTGTTCGTGTTGATTTTCCTTCTACCAAACAAGAGTATTGTTGCTGCATGTGGGTTCTGCATGGTGGTTGAGAAAAACATGCAAATTTCAACCTTTGGTTGCATGAGAAGTCTTGTGGCAGTCAAAAGGAGTTGAAAATGCATGCAAAGTGCAGAGTTGAAAGTGATGGTTATTTGGCAAGAAGGTGCAGCCGAAAATCTTGACAAAAATGGATTTTGCTTCTGCATGTATCCATGAAATTAAAGGTTAAGACTTTCAAGGCCATTGCATTTATTGTGCGTGGTTGGATTTTGACCTTGCAGCCCATTTCATTAATTTTGGGCGGTGGATTTTTGGCTATAAAAGCCAGTTGGCCATTCGGCAAACATACCAAGAAGAGCAATCCAAAGCAAAGTGAGCTCTAGAAAATTCAAGAGTTTTGTGAGTGCTTTGAATGAGGGTGAGCAAGAGTAGAGTGGTTAAAATTATTTTGTTGAGTGTATTTTGAATGTGTCTTACATTTAAAAATATTGTGAGTAAAATTTGAGTGTAATTGAAGATTTAGTATTTTTTTCTAAGAGTATTACAAATTGTATTTCTCTATTTTAATAGTGAATTTTTCCGTGTGAATGCCGACTTATCCCAATACTGGACATCATCTTCAAATTCGGACTTCATGGATTTTACTGAAAAATTCGAACAATTTGACCTGTTGACCTCTGCTTCTCCTTCCTCCAAGAGCCCAAGACTAATCTTCATATATATTCTGCACTGTA